TTGGGATGACAATCTAACTAGGGTTGTCCAATTTCTTGAGGAATGTGTTCCAATTTATGGCAATGTTAGTGGGGAATAGCCATGGACCCTTCAAATTGATCATTCGTACCATTATACTATTCAGTTTGTTGGGTATTTGGACCCATGAACCACGGATATGATCAACGGATTTTGAAAACAACCACGAAAGCAGTGAAACAAATCCCACCATGTCGGAAAAGACCAATGAAATTTCATGCAAATGAGGATTGGTTTGCAAAAGGCGTTCTTGTGTAGGCCCAAATTTCTTGGTACCCTCAATAAATTAGCTGGTTTGATGTGCTAAAGAAGACAATCACTAAAGTATGGGTCCCAAACTTTTGGAGAAGTTTTTGCCAAGCCTACTTTGACTATTCATGAACAAGAATATTGGGCAGGGCCATACGGCGCAGGGCCACTGGCCTGCTTGGAGGACCACCCTACAAATCGCAACTGGTACCGTTTGGACGGTCGTTATGGTCATAAGCTACTTCGAACTCCGATATCGAAAGGGTCTAAGCAAACCATTGATTTTGCCCCAAGGCATGGAGCAATGCTTCAAGGACCTTCGATGCGTGAACGTCTTGGGCCTCGGACCCCCTGTGGCTCAGCTAATTCTGACTGCTGGCCCGTCCGGGGGGAAAACCATTGAAATGCTGCTTGATGCTCTATTCTACAATTAATAGGGCTGAAAACCTATGATTTTCCATGCGTTTTTTATTCATTGGAAAAAACAAAAATTTTTCCCCACATCACTGTGTGGGGTTCTTGTTTTTCGCTTGGATCCCGCCGCTCTCCTCCGTCCGCCGCCGCCGCCGCGCCGCACTCATCACTACTCATCACTCACTCATTCATCACTCACTCACTCCCTCCCTCACTCACTCACTCCCTCCCTCACTCACTCCATCCACTCACTCACCCACTCACTCACTCACGGAGGAGCTGCGGAGCCCTCTGGAGGAGCCACTCACTCACTCATCACTCGCTCACTCACTCACTCCCTCACTCACTCACTCACTCACCTCACTCACCTCACTCACTCACTCACTCACTCACTCGATCAGGCAGGCGCAGTACAGAGAGCTTGCCTTTTGCGTGGCAGGCGCACTACACAGAGCCTCCTGGCGGAGCTGCGGCGCGCGTGGCCGCCGCTGGGGCCGCGGCTGCCTTTCTGGCAGGCGCAGTACACAGAGCCTCCTGGACGAGCTGCGGCGCGCGTGGCCGCTGCTGGGGCCGCGGCTGCCTTTGGCGTGGCAGGCGCAGAACACAGAGCCTCCTGGACGAGCTGCGGCGCGCGTGGCCGCCGCTGGGGCCGCGGCTGCCTTTGGCGTGGCAGGCGCAGTACACAGAGCCTCCTGGACGAGCCTGCGGCGCGCGTGGCGCCGGCTGGGGGCCGCGGCTGCCTTTGGCGTGGCAGGCGCAATATACAGAGCCTCCTGGACGAGCTGCGGCGCGCGTGGCCGCCGCTGGGGCCGCGGCTGCCTTTCGCGTGGCAGGCGCAGTACACAGGGCCTCCTGGAGGAGCTGCGGCGCGCGTGGCCGCCGCTGGGGCCGCGGCTGCCTTTTGCGTGGCAGGCGCAGTATACACAGAGCCTCCTGGACGAGCTGCGGCGCGCGTGGCCGCCGCTGGGGCCGCGGCTGCCTTTGGCGTGGCAGGCGCAGTACACAGAGCCTCCTGAACGAGCTGCGGCGCGCGTGGCCGCCGCTGGGGCCGCGGCTGCCTTTCGCGTGGCAGGCGCAGTACACAGAGCCTCCACATCATCTTTGACACATTATCTTTCTCACACAAATTTGTCTCACACCATCTTTCAGACACCATCCTTGACACACCAACTTTGACACACCATCTTTCACACCACTTTGTCCCACACCATCTTTCACACACAGCTTTGTCACACACCATCTTGCACAAACCACTTTGTCACACAGTATCTTTCACACACCATCAACACCATCTTTCACACACAACTTTGCCACACACCATCTTTCACACACCACTTTGTCACACACTATCTTTCACACACCACTTTGTCACACACCATCTTTCACACCCCATCTGTGACACACCATCTTTGTCAGCACTTTGTCACACACCATCAACACCATCTTTCACACACCATCTTTGACACACCATCTTTCACACACAACTTTGTCACACACTATTTTTCACACACCATCTTTCACACACACACCTTTGTCACACACCATCTTTGACACCACATCTTTGACACACACACACACATACACACACACACCATCTTTCACACACCGTCACAGACAATTTTTTGCACACCATCTTTCACACACAACTTTGTCACACACCATCTTTGACACACCTTCTTTCACACACAACTTTGTCACACACCATCTTTCACCACACCATCTTTGTCACACACCATCTTTCACGCAGACAACTTTGTCACACACCATCTTTCCTCCACCTCTTCCTTTGTCTTTCCTTCCTTCCCCGTCCCCGCAACAAGATTTCTTGCTCAATATTGGAAGAAGTTGACTTGTGGGGTTATCCGGTCCTTTTATTTGGGTGTGAAATGTAGGTTGGATGGTGAACATTACACATTACCAAAATCTGCGATCCCTTGCTCCTATGATTTTGACCCATACATGGGTGCTGGGAAATGGGCATGTTTTTTAATGGGGAGATAGCATCATATGTGGTACATTGTATACAATATGCCCTTACAAATGGATGGAAATGGAATTGTTTGGCTGTTACTTTTCTGCTTGAGAGCACTATGACCAACCAAGAATGAAGGATTCACATAAATGGGGCTATGCTTCCGTTGTGCAAGACTAACCACTATGGGTGTGTATCCTGCCGTGAAACTTGCGGGCTATTGGGCACTTCTTGGACATCGCTTAGTAGATGCCAGATCTGGACGATACATGAGAAGAACATGCGCAAAGCAAAAATGAATCTGTTCAAAATGCCTGTTCGATCTTTCCACAAGTTGCTCCCAACAGAGTGGTTGATCCATTTAGTGGTTTGCTTCAAAGTGCATCTGAACGTGGACACCATATAGCTCCCTTGAAATTCAACCTGGAAAGGTGATCAATGGGAACTTCGCCGTTTTATCACCAGCCAGGATTCCCCAATTTTCTGAAGGGCCTTGCCATTGAATGACTTAGTCGAACTTGGCTACCCCAAAGCCTGGCCAGTTCATTCGTAGTTTTTTGGGCTCTGGAATTTTGACTCGCGATCTCTTTGGGGTGCTGCCTAACTCCACATGAATACAAGAGTAGTTGACAGCAATTTACATAGATGCGTATGAATGTATAATAATGTATATATGTTTGTGTATATACGATAAAATATACACAATACTAAACTATTTCTGTATAGATGTGTATTTTTTTGTGCGGCGATCGGCCCATAGCCCATAGCCCCCACGTTCAGGACAAGCCCAAGAACGTCATGGGCCCCCGTCGTGGCGGGCTGCCTTCATAGATTCGATGCATCTACAAAAAGTAGTGGGGTTTCATCTCAGCGGCGCCTAGTAAATCGACACAGCAGCTACAAAGGCTGCTTGACTCCTTGAGGTTTGATCCCATTGGATCCAGACATGCTGGTGGTTTTATTAACGCCCTGAAAAATCAAGATGATACGAACCATTCTATTAGGGATGTAATGGGAGATGATGGGTTATATATCACCAACAGCACTAACGTACCCCGAACACAAAAAGCAACATTGTGGAAAAGCCAGGGTTCCCGACTCCCAGTGAACATGATCTACAAGTGGTAGGTGTTCCACATGTTTAATTTACCGATGGTATAGGATTACCAACAGGAATGGCGTGTCAACCAACGTGGGATGGTTGGGATGATTCTCGATTTCCGGTGACCTCACTGGTCGACCTCACCGACCTCACCATAGATCATGTTGATCATGTTTTGTAGGGGAAATTTTTGAAATCATCAAAAAGTTGCTGGGTTTGGTGAGTTTCAGGTTGGCGGTAGAAATTCGCCAAGAGATCAAGCAACTTATGGTCAGTGAATGATCGCCATGTTGAAGATGTTTGAAGTTGTTTGGGGTTGGGTAAATAGAAATCAGGATGAGGAAGCAATGGATAGCCAGCCAGGCTTCTTTTGCTCATTGGACTCGAATGGAGCCTCAGGGGTCCTAATTTGCTGACGGCGGCTTGGAAATACAATGATTCAAAGCAACAACTTCCAGATGGGGGGGATCAGGCCCAACAGAGAGGTGGTTTACCAAACAATTTGCTAGAGTCTTCATGCTTTAATATCAACATCCCCCCAAGAACATCGAAAGAGGATGCCAGAGCCATTTTTGAATTCTCAAGCTACCTTGCCAGATTAAGTTTTCCCCCTTTTAAGACCTCGCAAAGGATTCCAATGACTTTTTGAAGCAAAACAGCTTTGCCGCTGCTGCGTGTTGCAAATCCAGTGTCCTTTTCACCCTGCTTGAACAACACGAAAATTCTAATAGAATGGAGATGAACTGAGAACAGATGGAAGATCAACGACAACTCACCACTTTTCCCCAAAAAAAAACGCGCAGCATTGTGCCAGGCCAGATTTGGATGCCGCTGAACGCGGTGGAAAATATGCGAAAAAAGAAATCTGACGAATGTGGAGGCGGTTCCATTCCTTGGAATAACGCGGGAGAGATTTTGACCTAACAATTCTTCGCACGTTGGATGTCTTGAAGTTGTGCAGAAGGGAAGGCCAAGCTGGTGGGCCCTTGAGGCTGCGGTAGAAGAGTGCAGGATTTTTCCCAACCATCATGGCTTTGGGTTTGGATGGAGACAGTCCCGAACAACTTTTACTGTGACCGCCTTCGCACCATCTTTCACGTGGATGTTTCACCTGGTTGTTATCATGGTTTGGGTGCGGATTGGTCGCCATGGCGACAATGTTTGATTTGAGAAAGACCCAATCCATCATGCATTTCACAACCGTTCATAACCACACACCCTGAGGCATACCAAGGCGTTCCAAGGCCATTCGAGCCCGAGACGTGCAGTCCGATTTGTGTTCCCCAAGTCACCAAGCCATGCCTTCCAAAGTCGCCGGCGTTGCCCTGGCCACAGCGGGCGCCTACGCAGCATCCCAGGCCTTCCTGGCCCCAACTGCGCCTGTGACTCAGCCATCCACGGGTCGCCACCTTCGCCAAGCCACCGAAACCTCCGGTGCCGCCAGCTGCGCCGGAGCCGGCGCCCTGGCCGTTGGCGTGGCAGGTGTAGCAGTCGCTGCCAACCAGAAACGCGTCAGCCGACGTTGCCAGGCGAGGGGAAGCAGTCGTTTTTCATGGCTGGGGTTCGAGTTGGGTAGTTGAACTTTGACTCACCATGAGGCTTCTCTTTTGTACGGAGTTTGCCGTTCGTTTTCGTTAGGTCAAGGTGTTGTTTGGACCTTTCATCCCTTGGTGACTCAAGATACCCACACTCATGAACTTGACAACTCGTGAAGTGTGGGAAACACCAACATTTTCACATGCAGCCATCACATTCCCTTGCTCTTGGTATGCCGGATAGTGCCCGGCCGTGCCAGAGCGGGGGTTTCGAGAAAATAACATGGCTATCTCGTGAACCTGGCAGGTTGCGAAGAATTCAGTACCCTTCATACCCTTCAAAATTTCAAGTCGTGTGAGAAACACCAACATCTTCTGCAGCCATCACATTTTCTTGCTCTTCTTATATTGTTCCCTAAGCAATGTGTGCACACTCGGAGTTCCTGCGGTAGTAGTTAAGCCCGGGTTTGATCGAGGGTTTGTGCCCTGGTGTCCGACTTTTTTTGGTAACCCTCACCTTACAGCACAAAAGTTCTTCGGTCTTCAAGTTTCGAAGGAAGTCTCGCACGACACGGTGTCCATGGAGACCGCCGTTGCGGAGGTGCATTCCCGCCTGCGTGGCGTGCCCGTTTTTCGAGCCGTGTACTTGTTTCGCAGCAGGCGAAAGAGATTCGGCAGGGTCAGACGTTTTGCGTGACAAGTGCCGGCTCTCGACGCTTTTTCATCCACGTGGCACGTGCACGTTGGCCGGCAGAGGCCGATGCGCAAAAGTGGTTTCAGAGGTCTTTTTTCGTGGCAATAGCAGTATTTGGTGAACTTGGACGATGTCTTCACAGGCGCGAAAGTCTCGGTGCCATTTTCTATTTTGGCACACGCTGACCATTTGGGGTGGCAGGCGCAAGGCTTCGGATGCCTCAGGCCCATTTTTCTTGGTTCGCGCAGCACTGTAGAGACCTCGACGAAAAAAGTTGCTGGAACCTGGGTAAATGATGGTAAACGATCGTTTACGCATTTTCAACTTTCATGCTTCGTGGTGCGTGCAGTTTGTGCATATCGGATCGCCCTCGTTGTGGCGCAGTGCCGATTCTGTCAAGGAGATCCTGCAAAGAGATCTTGCCGAGAGACCTCTTCTAGAGATCTTGCACAGAGATTTGGCACAGGGACCTTTCAAGAAGATCTGGCCAAGAGATCTCCTTCAGAAACCTGGTACGGAGATCTTTTCAAGAGCTTGAACAGAAATCTTGTGTAAAGATCTCTGAGAGAGAGAGAGAGAGAGAGAGAGCTTGGAGATCTCTTTTAGAGACCTTGTGCGCAGATCTTTCACAGAGATCTTGCCAAGACACCTCTGCTAGAGATCTTGTACACAGATCTTGTCTAGAGATATCTCACATAGATTTTGCCAAGAGGTCTCTCACAGAGATCTTGCTACGAGATTTTGTATATAGATCGCTTGCAGAGATCTTGCGCGTCGATCTCTTTTAAAAACCTTGCAAACAGATCTTGCATAGAGATCTTTCACAGGGATCTTGCCGAGAGATCCCTTACAGAGATGTTGCCAAGAGACAGTAGAGAACTTGTAACTAGATCTTGTGTGGAGATCTCTGACGGAGATCTTGACCAGAGATGTTTTAAAGAGAGCTTGCGCAGATATCTTCACGGAGGGAATTTGCAGAATCTACCCTGGCATCTCTTCTTCACGTTCCGCGCACTCTTTGACACAGATCTTACCAGAGGGAACTTGCAGAATTTACCCTGGCATCTCTTCCTCATGCTCTTTGCAACTCTGTTTGGGGTCTCTTGCCGGGCTCATTTTTTCTACGTCCCAACGATGGAAGCCCTTTCCTCCGCATTTTGTCTCATGCTAACAACATCCTCCAAGTCGCATCGTCTCAGACTGTCGGATTTAATTTGGAAAGTGCAGTATGCTCATCAGGAAATGAGGTTGTGTGCTTTGGACCATTCCAATCTTTCAGACCGCTGCCCAGATGCCCATTCTGTTAAGCTTCTAGGTATCCATTGATACCTACCTCCCAAGAACCAAATAAAATGCATCTATTTCAGACCAGACCACCATACTTTTCCATCATGTCCAGTTATCCTTCCCATCTTATCCCTATTTGGGTTCCTCCTCTATATTTATAGGCATTCTTCAAAACTTTCCGAAGATATATACCAATGCTATGAATCCCCATGGTTAGATATCCCGTTGCATCCCACTTCGTATAATCCAGAACGCAAACTTCTTTTACCCAACCACATACATCAATATACAAATTCATTTCCCATGCTGTTCTCTATTTTACATATATATATACCATACAAGACCACCCGACCCCAGGCGACCCCAAGCCACTTCCGTCTCCAGGTGGTGCGTCAGGCTGTGGCCGAGAAGGTCTTCACCAAGATGCCCGCCTCGGTGAAGCCGGGAGTGGTCACCGGCACCTCGGCAGTTGGATGGTGGCCCCTGGCCCGTCGGGTTACCATGGGAGGAGGTTTGAAAGGGGTTCAAAATGATGTTTTATGTTTGTAATGATAGGCAGATGGTGCGTCATCAAAATAGTAAAGGGTCTGCCAGATGAGAATAATTCCACGCTTCCTGCGCCGTGGAAAAATGAAACAAACAGCTGACTGGTTCAGGTCAGCTAGACATGGGGGAGTACAACGAAACATTGCATTTTGTATTTCCCGGGTTGGTTCATAGTAAAAAGCCCGCGCTTTGAAACCCGCCATATTGTCAGGGGTTACCGAACTACAACCCAGTCGAACCACCCCCCAGTGTAGGATCCTTATTTGAAAATCAGAATATTGCCTTATTTGGATTTTGGCGATTTGAGGATCATGGGTTTATCTATGGAGTTTCTGGCCTTATTTGAAAATCAAATATTGCCTTATTTGGACATTGAATATTGCCTTATTTGAAAATGAAATATTGCCTTATTTGAATCATGCTGTTTTTTTTGGGATCTTTTTTGTATAGTATCTACACGCCTTATTTGAAACTTGAATATTGCCTTATTTGAACCGTGATGTTTTTTTTGAATTTGTTTTTGATAGTATCTACACGCCTTATTTGAAAATTGAATATTGCCTTATTTGAACCGTGATGTTTTTTTGGAAATAATTTCTGAAAATATTTACACGCCTTATTTGAAACTCAAATATGGCCTTATTTGAACCCCAATGTTTTTTTAAGAATAATTCCATTTTTTTTGTGAATTTTATTTTTCATAATTTCAAAAACAAATGCTGCCTGTTTGTGATTTCCATTTTTTTATTTTGCGATCCCGTTTATGTTTCAAATCAGACAATATTTACTTTTCAATAACACCAATGATCATCAAACAGAACAAATCCAAATAAGGCATGTTAAGGTGGTTCGATTGTGCTTTGGGTCAAGCATCCATGAGACTGAATTCAAGTTAAAGATTTTTATTTCAAATAGATCCTAATAACCCCTAATAATATAGAGAAACATTAAATAGATGACCAAAACCAGAGGTATGAACCATTATCGTCCATTTGTTCCTTGTCGTGCATTATTGCCCGTTATTTTCCTTATTTGTCGTTATTTTCATTGTACTTTATTTTTGATCAGTTTCCTTATTTGTTCCTATTTGTTCTTATTTACACATATGTTTTTCTTATTTGACATTGTTTGTTACTATTTTGTTCTTGTTTGTGTCTTATTTGTATTCTTGATTTCCTCATTTGTCCTTATTTGTCCTTATTTGTATTAATTTTGTCACTATGTGTTTTTTTTGTTTTGTTTTCCTCATTTTTTTCAATTACCTTACTTCACCAGTTTTCCTGATTTGTCCTTCTTTGTTCTTATTAATACTTATATTTTCTTATTTGTCATTGTTTGTCACTATTTTGTTTTTGTTTGTTCCTTAATTGTACTCTTGTTTTCCTTGTTTGCCCTTATTTGTACTTATTTGTCACTATTTGTACTTGTTTGTTTTTTTTTTGCATCCTTATTTTTCACTATTTGTTCCTTATGTGTTCTTATTTTACCATTGATTAAATTTGGGCGGCTCAAATCAGTACTATGAGCAAGGCGGTGTCTAAGGAATGTTCTCTGCAAAGGATTGTGTACATATGTTGATTTTCAGAAAAGGATCCTACACTGGACGGTGGTTTGATTGGATTTTGGGTCAAGCATCCATGAGAACGAGTTAAATTTGAGGATTGTTGTTTCAAATAGGTCCTAATAACCCCTAATAGAGAAACATCAAATAGACAATCACACTATTATCGTCAATTTGCACCTTGTTTTTCACTATTGCCCGTCGTTTTCCTTATGTGTCGCTATTTTCACTGACTTTATTTTTCACAAGTTTTCCTTATTTGCCCTTATTTGTTCTTATTTACGCTCATATTTTCTTAGTTGTCAGTTTTTACTATGTTGTTCTTGGTTGTTCCTTATTTGTATTCTTGTTTTCCTTATTTGTCCTCATTTGTCCTTATTTGTACAGTAACTAGTTGTTCTTTATTTCCTCCTTATTTGTCCTTATTTTTCACTATTTGTTCCTTATGTGTTCTTATTTTACCATTGATTAAATTTGGGCGGCTCAAATCAGTACTATGAGCAAGGCGGTGTCTAAGGAATGTTCTCTGCAAAGGATTGTGTACATATGTTGATTTTCAGAAAAGGATCCTACACTGGACGGTGGTTTGATTGGGTGTTGGGTTTTGTCAAGCATTCACATGAAGAACGAGTTTAAATTGAAGATTGTTGGTTTCAAATAATTCCTAATAACCCCTAATAGAGAAACATCAAATAGACAATCACACTATTATCGTCAATTTGCACCTTGTTTTTCATTATTGCCCGTCGTTTTCCTTATGTGTCGCTATTTTCACTGACTTTATTTTTCACAAGTTTTCCTTATTTGCCCTTATTTGTTCTTATTTACGCTCATATTTTCTTAGTTGTCAGTTTTTACTATGTTGTTCTTGGTCGTTCCTTATTTGTATTCTTGTTTTCCTTATTTGTCCTCATTTGTCCTTATTTGTAACTATTTGTTCTTTATTTCCTCCTTATTTGTCCTTATTTTTCACTATTTGTTCCTTATGTGTTCTTATTTTACCATTGATTAAATTTGGGCGGCTCAAATCAGTACTATGAGCAAGGCGGTGTCTAAGGAATGTTCTCTGCAAAGGATTGTGTACATATGTTGATTTTCAGAAAAGGATCCTACACTGGACGGTGGTTTGATTGGGTTTTGGGTCAAGCATCCATGAGAACGAGTTAAATTTGAAGATTGTTGTTTCAAATAGATCCTAATAACCCCTAATAGAGAAACATCAAATAGACAATCACACTATTATCGTCAATTTGCACCTTGTTTTTCATTATTGCCCGTCGTTTTCCTTATGTGTCGCTATTTTCACTGACTTTATTTTTCACAAGTTTTCCTTATTTGCCCTTATTTGTTCTTATTTACGCTCATATTTTCTTAGTTGTCAGTTTTTACTATGTTGTTCTTGGTTGTTCCTTATTTGTATTCTTGTTTTCCTCATTTGTCCTTATTTGTAACTATTTGTTCTTTATTTCCTCCTTATTTGTCCTTATTTTTCACTATTTGTTCCTTATGTGTTCTTATTTTACCATTGATTAAATTTGGGCGGCTCAAATCAGTACTATGAGCAAGGCGGTGTCTAAGGAATGTTCTCTGCAAAGGATTGTGTACATATGTTGATTTTCAGAAAAGGATCCTACACTGGACGGTGGTTTGATGGGATTTGGGTCAAGATCCATGAGAACGAGTTAAAATTCTGAAGAGTGTTGTTTTCTTCAAATAGGGCCTAATAACCCTAATAGAGAAACATCAAATAGACAATCACACTATTATCGTCAATTTGCACCTTGTTTTTCACTATTGCCCGTCGTTTTCCTTATGTGTCGCTATTTTCACTGGACTTTGTTTTTCGCAAGTTTTCCTGGCATTTCTGTTGGCTCCAATCGTATCATTTTTTTCTGTTCAGCACAGTGAACTGGCATGTAAGTGATTCAACAATCAAATTATCAAGGGCAGGCCACAAAGCAGGACCAATTTGATTCCCCTGCAAAGGATTAGCTAGTGCATTTTTCCAACAAAGTACATATGATCAAATATTTAAAGAACATGCAAAGAATACGAAAATCAAATGATGTGACAATTAGACAAACATTCCATGCACAGTGATTCATGATTCGATTGCAACAGAAACCTGTTGCCTGCAATGCTGCGCTGTTTCACTAACTCCTTGTTGGAATGCTCCTTGGTTGCAT